TTTTACTTTTTTGAAATAAACTTTCGTTGTGTACTTATGTTCAAACAGACCTTACTTAAAAAATACCCCTCGGATACACACACACACATACTGTTGACTTATGGTGACCTATGCATTTTTAGACAAGGAATACTCAGAGACAGCTTTGCCAATCTTTCTCTGAAATAAAGACTTCAGCACCTGGTATTTTTTGGCAAACTCCCATCCATGTATTAACTAAATCCGACTGTGTTTTGAAAATATGATAGATGGCTTTAGGTTTCACAATGAGTAATTTCAGCAATTTTCTTTCCACAGTGAGGAAATCTATGAAAGCCATAAAGCTTTTCAACATTATTTGCAGTTCAGGACAGATCAAAATATTGCTGTAATTAGGAATTTCTTCTGCATAAAAACATACATGGTTTATTTACATGAAAAATACGTCTCTGCATATCAAACAACATGATGAAAAATGTTTTAATACTGAAATGATAATCTATTTGCAGAAAAGGCTGTTTTCTGTGCAAAATAACCACATTTTTTGCAGAAAATAAATCCAAAACTGCGAAGATTCTGGTAAGTATGAAATTTTCATAATCTAGATTTCTGAACACCCAAAATTTGTCAAAAAATTATATTCTTTCCATCCTTCCATGTGCCAAACCTACAATGAGAAACAGCAGTGCAGGAATCAACAACAATTTTACCTTATCTAGCCTTAGACAGCAGAAGGGCACTTTTTCATGAAGCAAATGGCAGAAGGTGGGAGAGCTTCCTATATAAGGGGAGTAAGGAGGATAGCCTTTCAAATACCTAGGACAAGAAATAATTGATGTTATTGTTGCTGTGAGTTATAAATAATCCTACAAGACGTTTGAACAGGTCAAAGATTTTGCTATTACTACACTCAAATGAGTGTAATGTTAATCCAATTAAGGATATGGCTTCACAATTAAGACTTCTGATACTGAGCAACAAGGGACTGTGATTCTTTCTTAAATAAACTCATGAAATGCCTCTTTATAGTAACCTGAATTTGTCATATAGCTGCAAAAGACTGTATCTTCTCTGGTCACATTGCTCTCTTTGATCTATTTGTCTCTTCATCGCATCTGTTGATTCCATCTTTCTTGGATTCTTGGAGAAGAAATAATCAAGTATTTGACCTTGTTGCTATATAAATATCATTGACTTGTTCATCTAATTGACTTCTGGCACTTTGGGCGGTTAGCTTGCTCTTGATAAAGACTGTACCCTTCTGCTTGGTTTGTAAAAATAATTGCTTTTTTTCATTTGAATAACAGTTACCAAAGTCTATGGCCCCATCTACACTGCCCAATAATGCRGTTTCAAACTTCATTATATGAGTCTACACTGACGGGGTTACACTCCCCCTGAAGGTGCAGGTTCGCAGCTTGGGAGTGATCCTGGACTCATCACTGAGCCTGGAACCCCAGGTCTCRGCAGTGGTCAGGGGAGCTTTTGCACAATTAAAACTTGTGCGCCAGCTGTGCCCGTACCTTGGGAAGTCTGACTTGGCCATGGTGGTCCACACTCTGGTTACATCCCGTTTAGACTACTGCAATGTTCTCTACGTGGGGTTGCCTCTGAAGACTGCCCGGAAGCTCAAACTAGTCCAACAAGTAGCAGCCAGATTACTAACAGGAGCGGGGTACAGGGAGTATACTACTCTGTTGCGCCAGCTCCACTGGCTGCCAATTAGCTTCTGAGCACAATTCAAAGTGCTGGTGTTAACCTATAAATCCCTAAACGACTCCGGCCCAGTTTACCTGTCYGAACGGATTCTCCCCTATGAACCATCAAAATTGTTAAGATCATCTGGAGGGGCCCTGCTCTCGGTCCCACCATCCTTGCAAGAGCGCCTGGTGGGGACGAGGGACAGGGCCTTCTCGGTGGTGGCCCCTCAGCTCTGGAACTCCCTCCCACTGGA